ATAAACAGAAGAAAAAAAAAAGCCGGAAGTGGCACTGTGGCTCAAGTGGTATAGTGCTAGCCTTGAGCTGAAGAGCTGAGGGACAGCGCCCAGGCCCAGAGTTCAGGCCCTACGATCAGACCAAAAAAATAAAATAAAATAAAATAAATAAAATTTAATCCTGGGGTTTGAACTCAGGGCCTTACACTTGCTAAGCAAAGCAAGAGGACTAACACTGGACCCACACATCAAAACTTGGTTTTTATTTTGTTTTTGAGATAGAATCTCAGATATTTTTCCTAGATTGACCTTGAACCACAATCCTGCTACAACTTTTACCACCACACCTGGCTCATATTTAGTAACTTTTCTACTAGATTAACAGCTTCTCGCCGGGCGCTGATGGCTCAAACCTGTAATCCTAGCTACTCAGGAGGCTGAGATCTGAGGATCACTGTTCAAAGCCAACCTGGGCAGGAAAGTCCATGAGACTCTTATCTCCAATAAACCACTAGACAACCAGAAGTGGCGCTGTAGCGGTCGAGCGCTCGCCTTGAGCTGAAGAGCACAGGGATAGTGCCCAAGCCCAGAGTTCAAGATCCATGACTGAAAACAAAAACAGCTTCTCTAGGGCTGGAACCACTATCCCCAGGAGTCTCATTTATCAAGTAGGGAGTATTTGCTGAATGGACACACCAATATGAAATGATTGAGACAATCCTGTTCACCCTGTCTTGCTAACAAATGAAAGACAAGGTACCACATCTGGCAGGCCTGCATGTCAGAGCCTGAGCTCACCGGTGGAGGGCTATCTATCCATAATCTGCAACAGACTTTAAGGGCTGGGGGCAGGGTGGAGAGAATTGACATGGTCATTTCCTCCCTAAGCCTCGTCTCCATGTTCAATTCTGGCCCAAAAAACAATGGCTTCCAGTTCTTCTTGATCTGAATAAAACAGATTGGCTGGATGGCAAGCACACAGTATTTGGGGAGGTCAGTGAAAGCCTGGATGAGGTAGGTAATAGAGAATAGCCTTGTTCTTGCCTGGGCCCTTGGTACACAGCCCTGGGGGAGGCTGGAGAGAGCTCTGTGGCCAGGGATAGGTGGCTTCTACTCTGGCTCCAAAGAAAAAGATTATCACTGACTGTGGAGAGTACATGTGAGTTAATATACTCTGTTCCCCTCTGTGCTTGGTCCCTGATGGTCCTGGATGGAACTGAGACCTCTGGGGCACCAGCACTCAGGGCATTCTGTGCAGTAGAAGGGTAGGGTGGACTTTCTCAGGAGCAGCTTTTCTGCAGCACAGCCTGGAGCTCCTTCCTCTAGGCTTTATTCAGCACTTGTGTTGTCCTCCTCACCAGAGAGCTGTGCCCAGCCATTGGGCTGGCACACAGGACAGCCATTGGCTGTCCTATGCTACTAGTAAGGGTCTATCTTGGACCACCTGAGGCTCCTAGGTGGTTTCTCTTTTTAATATTTATTTATTTATTATTGGGGGGGGGAGTCCTGGGGCTTGATCTCAGGGACTGGCCACTGTCCCTGAGCCTCTTTTTTTTTTGGGTCCAGTTGTGGCGCCTGAACTTTGGGCCTGGGCGTTGTCCCTCAGCTCAAGGCTAGCTCAAGGCTAGCGCTCTACCACTTGAGCCACAGCGCCACTTCTGGCTTTTTCTTTTTGCTTATGTGGTGCTGAGGAATGGAACCCAGGGTCTCAGGCATGCAAGGCAAGTGCTCTACCACTGAGCCACCTTCCCAGCCCCCCTGAGCCTCTTTGTGTTCAAGGCTGGTGCCCTACCACATGAGCCACAGTACCGCTTCCAGCTGTTGCTGAGTAGTTTATTGGAGATAAGAATCTTATGGATATTCCTGCCTAGGCTGGCTTCTAACTGTGATCCTCAGATCTCAGCCACCTGGGTAGCTATGATTATGGGCTTGAGCCACTGGTGCCCAATGGTTTCTTTGATAAAATAAATCCTGGTGTTTTGTACAATGGTATCTAGTCAGGCCTTAGGTGTTCAGGGTCAGGCTCTGTGGCTCTGGAAGAGAAGATGGCCAAGATGGCAGATGAGTGCTACCATGAACAAACTTTAGAATAAACATCCTGCTGTGGTTTCAATGTGGAATGTCTCCCAGAGGCCCAAACATTAAAAATTGGATCCACAGCTTGGCACTTATAGGAGGTAGTAGAAACTTTAAGAAGTGGGCTCTAATAAGAAGTAATCTAGGGCTGGGAAGGTGGCTCAGTGTTAGAGTGCTTGCCTTACATGCTTAAGGCCCTGGGTTTGATTCCTCAGCACCACATAAGCAGAAAAAAAAAAGCCGGAAGTGGCGCTGTGGCTCAAGTGGTAGAGTGCTAGCCTTGAGCTGAAGAGCTGAGGGACAGCACCCAGGCTGAGAGTTCAGGCCCCAGGACTGAACCCCCCCTCCCAAAAAAAAGTAATCTAGTCATTAGAGGGGAATGTGGGACCCAAGCCCCTCCTCTTCCTCTCTTGGGCTTCCTGGCCACCATGAAGTGGATAGCTTCACTCTTCTTTGGACTCCCTGTCATGACTTGCTGCTTGGCCACAGGCCCAAAAGCAGTGAGAAACAGTGACCACAACTCAGACCTCTGAACGCATGAGCCAAAATTATTTATGTATATATTTTTTTACTTACTGGGGCTTGAACTTAGGACTTTGAGGTCTCACTTAGCTTTTCTGCTCAAGCCTGGCACTCTACCACTTGAGCTCCACCAGCACTTCCAACTTTTGTCTGATTAATTGGAAATAAGAATCTCTCTAATTTGTCTGCCTAGGATGGCTTTGAACCTCAATGCTCAGACCTAAACCTCCTGAATAGCAGGGATTAGAGACATGGCCCTTTACTTTTTTTTCTTTTTCTTTTTTTTTGGTCAGTCGTGGGGCTTGAACTTTGGGCCTGGGCACTGTCCCTCAGCTCTTCAGCTCAAGGCGAGTACTCTATGACTTAAGCCACAGAGCCACTTCTGGTTTTCTGAGTGATTTATTGAGATGAGAGTCTCTCGGACTTTCCTGCCCGAGCTGGCTTTGAACATTATCCTCAGATCTCAGCCTCCTGAGTAGGTAGGATTACAGGCATGAGCCACCAGCTCCTGGCCCCTTTCCTTTTTATAAATTGATTATATCAGATATTTTGTTATAGTAGCAGAATATTAACTTACCAGCCCTATGTCTTTGTGTCATGGATGGGAGACTGAAGTGTGGATATTAAAGGGAACTTGTTCAGACACTAACAAGTAAAGTCTAGCATTTGGGCTGGTGCCTTGCCAGCCTTTATTTGAAGCACTAGGCTCATGGGGAACTCACCACCTTCCAGTCTGAGCCTGTCCTCTGTGACATGGGACGCTCCCTTCCTCTGTGTTCCAGAGGGGCACTCAGGCCCAGGTGGAGGAGCTGTTGTCCTGCAGTGAGGCCCCAGCCTCACCCCTGCTTCCAGACCTGCCTCCCTGAGGCTCAGCTAAGAGAATGGTATGAACTCCAGAGAAGCTCATCCCTGGGCCTCTGGGTGGGACCATTTGCTGGGTGTGCCCCTGTGGGCAGGCCCAGGACCTGCTCTTAATGACACACTTCACAAAGTTGCACTGTCTGTTCCTGTAGGTAAATTATAGGCTTAAGGAGTCCAAATCAAATAAACACTGCAACTCCCAGTGGCTGTTCCAATGGAGCAGCACTGTTTCCTGGAACAGTGAGACAATTCTCCCCTCCCAACTCAGCCTAATTACCACCTGTTACTCCTCTGGGAGCAGGGCCTTTTCTTTGATGCACAGGCCCCTAGAAACAGGACAGGGCTTCTGGGTCCCCAGAGTGATACCAACTTTTTTTTTTTTTGGTCAGTCGTGAGGCCTGAACTCGGGGCCTGGGCGCTATCCCTCAGCTCTTCAGCTCAAGGCTAGTGCTCTACCACTTGAGCCACAGCACCACTTCCGGCTTTTTTCTATTTGTTTATGTGGTGCTGAGGAATCAAACCCAGGGCCTCATGCATGCAAGGCAAGCACTCTACCACTGAGCCACCTCCCCAGCCCATGATACCAACTTTGGTGACCCATTTGTTCTTAGTTCCCAGATACAAGCAAATTCTGACAGTCCTCACCCTCACTCTGTGTCTAACAAGAGGCTGCCTAGTCACTATGCCCTAGATTGAATAGATGACTTCTCAGTAGAGAGGGGGAGAAGCCAAGTTCATGCCACAGAGCAGCTAGTGATGGCCACCTACAGGTCTGCTGAGGATGTGGGCAGCCTCTCTGGGTACAGAGGGTAAAGTACCTAGATGGGCTACCAATGGTGGCCATGGGCAAGGAGAAGCAGAGGTGGTGCCTACTGTGTGCCTGCTACAGAAGCTGCTGCCTTTGCTTCTACCAAAGAGTTAACTGTATTAGTGCCATCCTCATTGAATCAATATGTTCCCTGCTTGGCTTCCCTGGGAGTCATGCCTCTTCTCCAGGCAACGGAAGCACAGCCTCAGGGCAAGGGAAGACATCCCTACTGGCTTCACCTTGAGCCATGACACCCAGACAGCTTGCTGTCTCAATCAAGTTAGAGGAATCCAATAGTACACCACTCTGGCAACTTGTGCTTGTCTAATTGTGCCTCAAAATGCCCAAATAGTACATGTGGGAGGGGAGGGAGCCCTTCTGCCCACACAGACCAGTAGTGAGTGGCTCAGAGTTTAGATTACCCAGCCTCAGACTGCAGGGGGCACCCTAGACCATCCAGTGTTGGCCACAGTCTAGGCCAGGGATATCCACAATCAGATCCTATTGTAGGACTTAAGTACTGACCCCAGGCAACACAGTCAGCACAACTCTGAGCTGCTCTGGATATTCAGGCTGAGGTGAGAGTGGAAGAACACAGTTGCTCTACACCCCACAGGTGCAAAAAAAGGGGTCTGGAAAAGGCAAGAAGCCTAGCATGAAGTGAGCAGGGAGAGAGAGGGCCTCTGCCTGAGCTATGACAGCATTCAAGCATTTCCTGCCTCCTGAGAGGGGCCTGTCCACTGGAAAAGGGAGGCTAGTTCAGGGCCCGCAGGTCAGCAGAATCTCTGGGACTCAGTGGCAGCCGCAGGCCTTGACCACCATGTTGCGATGCTTGCGCAGGATGACGTTGTTGCTGCTGTCATAGTAGAGCACAGAGGTGGCACTCAGCTTGGTGGGCGCACAGCACGCCTTGGGGACTGTGTCTGGCTTCATCAGGTGCACCTGGACAGGGAAGGGACACAGGCAGGGGCCATGAGCCCAGTGGTCTCCAAGGATCCTTCCAGAGTGGCCCCAGCTCTGCCTCCGTCTGTCCACCCCAGCCTGTCTCAGGTCTCAGCCCCTTGCCGCACCTCAGGTCGCTCTCCACCTGCAGCCAGGGCAGGTTTCACAGGGCAGACCTGCCTGCTGCCACCCTCAAGGTGCAGCCAGGAGGCCTGCTATGGCTGTCTACCCTACACACCTGTCTCTCATTCTTCCAGCCCTCTCCTCACTGCCCCCCACACCCCTGCTGCCCAGACAGGGACAATGCTGCTAGTCCACATACACCCTGCCCAGGCCACCCCAGCAGCAGTGCCTCCTCTGGGGGCTCCCTTCTCCATATACTTCTAGAAGTGTCCTTATTGGGTCTCTAGCCTTGTCAACCTCTAAAAAGTGCCCTCATCCACTATGGGACTCAGTTATCACTGGAGCTTCCTTGGGTCCCTTCCTCCTCCCACCCCCCTCCCTCCATCTATTAAACCCTGAGCAAGGAGGAAAGGATGCTCAGCCTCCCCCAACCCCATCTCTTAGGCCTCAGACCACTTCACATCCCCACCAATCCCTCCTTGCCTCCTGTTCTGGCCACAGCAGCCCACCTTGGCCTCTCTACCTCCTCCACCTTTCACCCCAGGAGTCTACCCTGCCACACAGGCTTCTAGAGAGGAGCTTAGCCATGACAGTGCTGTGCTAAACCCCCAACAGCTTCTCAGTAAACTGGGAATAAATCCCACCCTCCTTACAGGGAGACAGCCCTAGGGACCTGACCCTGCCTGCCCAACCTCATGTTTCTACCTTCCCCTTCCACACTACATTCCTGCCCTCCAGCCCCTGCTGGCCCAGAACCCTCCAGGATGCCCTGTCTTGGGACCTTCACACTGCTCCTTGCCCCTGCTGCTCCCACAGAGGCCACACAGCCTCCCTCTTGATCTAAGGAAAACTTCATTGCTAGCTTGCTGGGCACTCACCACAGTCTCCCCACAGGACAGCAACTGTCAGCTCATGAGTGCTCACTTTCCTGGCCACCATGTGGGCTCAGGCAGGGGAGTATGGGGTATAGTGGGGAGTTCTGGAAGGAGTAGCACACCCATCCCCAGGGGCTCCTCCACCTGGGGCATAGGGGTGGAGCTGCCCTGTGATCATCCTAGGTTCTTCTTCCAGACTTCAGCAGCTAGCATCCAGCAAGGGCACTGCCATTGTAAAAACATGTCTGGGCCAAGCACGCCTGTAATCCTAGCTACTCAGGAGGCTGAGATCTGAGGATCATGGTTCAAAGCCATTCCTGGCAGAAAAGTCCATAAGACTCTTATCTCCAATAAACCACTAGAAAAATGGAAATGGTGCTGTGGCTCAAGAGCTGAAGAGTACAAGGACAGCGCCCAGGCCCAGAGTTCAAGCTCCACAACCAACCAAAAAAAAAAAAAAAAAAATGTCCGGCACAGTGTTAGGAAGGCATGACCAGTGTGCTAGAGCATGTGCGGTATGCTCAGGTGCTCTGCAGAGCACTGTCTATTGAACATGTGACCACAGGGCTGTGCCCCTGTGGGTCTGCACCACACACATAGTAACCACAGCCCACAGGGAAATATAGTGTGCAGTGTGCAAGGGTAGATGTGCAAGTGTCTGTGTGGATGGGCAGGAGCGTCTGCAAGTAGGCAGGTGGCTACATGGCAAGTCCCTGTAGAAAAAGCACCTCCCGGCAGCTGCGCTCCCTGCCACGGTGGCAGAGAGGCCTTGTCCTCAGGCCCCAGGCCAGGGTCCCGCCCGCTGTGCTGCAGTACTGACCAGGGATTGCAGGATGGCGTGGTTGGTGGCGTTCATACACGAGTCCAGCGGGAAGGAGCACTCTCCCTCACAGTAATAGGCCGAGTAGCCCTGGGGGGCGATGACCCAGTCCTGAGAGATGGGAGAAGGTGAGTCCTGCCCACGTGGCCCCTTCACACCCCTCAGCCTAGGCCTGACAGGACACCTGGGGCTGCCCCACGCTCCCTGAGCCCCAGAGCCCCACTCTGGCCCCTCCTGGGCAGCCTCCACCCCAGGACCTGAGTCTACCCAGACACCCTCAGCAGACAGGCCTGGGCCAGAGCTGTGTCCCTGTCACACCTTGTCCCTGCTAGCCCTCCCCCTCCCTCGGAGCAAATGCTCCAGGCTCTGCCTACACTGCCTCAGTTTCCCCATGGCAGTGTTGGCAATTTAGTTGGCTGGGGCTGAGATAATCCCCATTTCCATCTATTTTTTTAATGACTTCACACAGTGAAAGCAGCCTATTCTCAGTAGAAAAGTTGGGAAACCCAGAAGGAAAAACTTCAGGAGAGAATTTAAGGTGCCTACACTTCCACTCGCTCCCCAGGGCCTGCAGGTGGGGACTGTCCCAGGGAGAAGGGGAGGCAGAAATTACCAGCCAGCCGAGGTCCTGGAAGCTGACGTACAGCTCGTGCCGACGGCAGACCTGCCGGCCGTGGGAGCCGTGGCGGTCATCTGTGGGGACAGACGGTACAGGTCCACTCTGGAGCTCTGCTCTGTGCAGATGCCATGGCGTGGGGCACATTTGTTCAGTAAAGGAGCAGGAGGACACTACAACACTGGTCGTCACAACTCTCATCCCTGGATCCCTGCCTGGGCTGTGACCCAGCTGAACAGCCTCCATGACCCCAGTTGCTACGGGTGCCCTGTGTTCAGTGCCTGTCCCTTGTCTTGCAGATGATGAGCCTCCAGCCCTCCAATAGACATACACCCAGCAGCACACTCAGCCATCCTATGGCTTCTCTCCTTTTCCTCTGGACCCGCTCCTGTCTCCAGCCACCCGCCTGCCAGGCCCCTCTGTCTAGACCAGCAGCAGGGCTCCTCCCTGGGAAGAAGGCTCCAGCCCAGCCCCAGCCCCTGCCCTCACCAAAGATCCCTGGGAGTTTGTTGGGGTGTGGCAGCTCATTGGACTTTTTGGGTTGCCTCCTCTTCAGGGGTCTTGCCGCCCTCGGGGCACGGGCAGGGCTTGAAGTGGCCCTGAAGAAGGTGACCATGAACGGTTGTCTGGAGCGTGGAGCCCGTTGCCCCAGCAGACCTGCCAGGCCAGGATCCACACTGTGCCCTGAGACAGAGAGGAGAGAGGGTCACTCGTGGATGGTGGACCTGCCAGGGATCGAGCAGAGGCCTCTGCTCCTCAGCAGGAGCTGGGGGCTGGGGGCTTGAGGGGACTTGCTAAGCCTCAATTTCCTTATTTGGAGCCAGGATTCCCAAGTCCAGCTGGCAGCCCCCTGGCAGCAGTCTGAGGAGGTGGCAGAACAGAGGCCTCAGGGAACGCAGCCATCACTGTTAGGGACATGGACACTTGTAAAGCATTTGACAGGCTTCAAAGTTGGTTCCTCTGTTATCTGGGTTGGTCCTTGGGGCAACCACACTGGAGTCCCCCAGTGATGAACAGAGTCCATTGTAGTGATGCTCAGAAGCAGGACTGCTCCTCACATGGAGGACCTGAGGTTCCTCCCTCTGTCCATACTTTCTGGGGCTGTAACTGTGATTTATGACACTGACAGCTCAGGGCAGCCTCTTCTAGGACATACCCAGGACTTGCTCTTACCAGCATGGCCCATGGCAGGGAATTCCCTAGGCTATAGGGTAGACTTCAGAACAAAATTAGGTCTGGGTCAGTCTACATCAGTGTATTCCTGAGCCAAAAGGCTGCAGGGGGAGAGGATCTGGGCCTAAACTCTAGGAAGAGTGAAAGGAGATTTCAGCTGAGCGCCCAGTGGCTCACGCCTGTAATCCTAGCTACTCAGGAGATCTGAGGATGCTGATTCAAAGCCAGCTCAGGAAGGAAAGTCTATGAGACTCTTAGCTCCAATTAACCACCAGAAAACTGGAAGCGGCAGTGTGGCTCAAGTGGTAGAGTGCTAGCCTTGAGCTGAAGTGCTCAGGGACAGTGCCCAAGCCCAGAGTTCAAACTCTACAACTGACAAAAAAAAAAAAAAGAAAGAAAGAAAGAAAGAAAGATTTCATGGGTAGGAATGTGGCTTAGTTGTAGAGTGCTTACCTAGCATGCATGAAGCCCTAAGCTCTATTCCTCAGTACCACATAAACAGAAAAATCTAGAAGTGGCGCTGTGGTTTAAGTGTAGAGTGCTAGCCTTGAGCAAAAGAAGCTCAGGGACAGGCCCTGAGTTCAAGCCCCAGAACTGGCAAAAAATGATTTCATCCCACAGCCACTTAAGACTGGGAAGCCCACTGAAAGTGTCCCTGGCATGCAAGTTTTCCACTGTCAAAACCATGCCCATACTGGTACCTTGCAAGTGATGCTTTTTTTTTTTTTTTACAGCAGAGGTAACCACTGTGAAGGAACTTTTGTTGTTGTTGGTGGTGGTGGTGGTCATGGGTCTTGAACTCAAGGCATGGGTGCTATCTTTGAGCTTTTTTGCCCAAGGCTAGTTCTCTACCACCTTTATCCACAGCTCCAATACTGCAATACTGCTTTTTTTTTTTTTTTTTTTTTAATTGGAGATAGTCTCATGGCCTTTCCTGCCTGGACTAGCTTTCAACTGTGATGCTCAGATCTCAGTCTCTTAAGTAGCTAGGATGACAGGCATGACCCACCAGTACCTGGCAGTGAAGAAACTTTTGAGAAGCAGAGTATGATGGTGCAGACTTGTAATCCCAGACATGAGGATGGCAGAGATCTACAGGATTGCATGTCAAACATCAAGACCTCAATGCAATCAGCAAGCCAGGTATCATCATGCTTGGTACATGACTGTGAATGTTTGTTATCTCAGCTACAAAGGAGACATAAGCATAAAGTTGAGGTCTGAGGCCAGCTCTGGGCAAAAATAATGTGAGACCATATCTGATAAAGAGCACTGGCCTAGCAAGTGAGAGGCCCTGAGTTCAATCCTCCCTCTGCCTCTACAAAGAAAAGAAAAAACTTTCATCCATAAAGTACCTTCCCAAGTCCTATGTATTCATTTTTACTTTTCTGAGATTATTTCATTGTGTTGGTTTAAGTTTCACACAGTTGTGAGCAAAGAAGTCTATAATTCTTTTTAGCTTTTTTTACTTTTAAAGTTATTATAAAGGTGATATACATAGGGGTTACAGTTTTATAAGTCAGATAATATGTATTTTTCATTCTGATTTTATTTTTATTTTTATTTTATTTTATTATTTTTTGGGGGGGGTCCAGTTGTGGGACCTGAACTCTGGGCCTGGGCGCTGTCCCTCGGCTCTTCAGCTCAAGGCTAGCGCTCTACCACTTGAGCCACAGCGCCACTTCTGGCTTTTTTTCTTTTTGCTTATGTGGTGCTGAGGAATCGAACCCAGGGCCTCAGACATGCAAGGCAAGCACTCTACCACTGAGCCATCTTCCCAGCTTATTTTTATTTTTTGTAGTCATGGGGCTTGAACTCTGGGCTTGGGCTCTGACCCTCAGCTCTTCAGCTCAAGGTGAGCACTCTACCACTGGGAGCCACAGCGCCAATTCGGGTTTTCTGGTGGTTTATTGGAGATAAGAGTCTCATGGATTTTCCTGCCCAGGCTGAACCGTGATCCTCAGACCTCAGCCTCCTGAGCAGCTTGTATTACAGGTGTGAGCCACCAGCACCTGGCTTGATATTCTTTTATATGATCAGAGGCACACAGACATTGCACCTTTGTGCTCCTCCTCTAAGAGTACCCTCCTTTGGTCTCACTTGTGTATGACTGCCTAGAACCCTGTATAATTTATCATATCTGATATTTTAGATATTTAGATGAGAGAAACATGCATCTTTTGTCTATCTGAGCTGGGCTTACCTTGCTTAACATGATTTGTTCTAGGTCCATACATTTTCCTGCAAATGACATAATATTATTCTTTCTAATGGCTATGTAAAATTTCATTGTGTATTGGTACCATATTTTTTGATCCACCGATCTATTGTAGGGCAGCTGGGCTGTTTCCATAACTTGGCTATTATAAATAGTTCTTTTTAATTTCTTTTCTTTTTTTTTCTTTCTTTCTTTTTTTTGTTTTTGTCGTGGGACCTTAACTCTGGGCCTGGGCACTGTCCCTCAGCTCTTCAGCTGTAGACTAGCACTCTAGAGCCTCAGCCCCACTTCAGGCTTTTTCTGCTTATGTGGTGCTGAGGAATCGAACCCAGGGCCTCATGCATGCAAGGCAAGCACTCTACCACTGAGCAACCTTACCAGCCCCTAGTTCTTTTTAATTTCTTTTTTTTTTTTTTTTTGGCGGTTGTGGGGCTTGAACTCTGGGCCTGGGCGCTTGTCCCTCAGCTCTTCAGCTCAAGGCAAGCGCTCTACCACTTGAGCTACAGCACCACTTCCGGTTTTCTAGTGGTTTATTGGAGATAGGAGTCTCACGGTCTCTCCTGCCTGGGCTGGCTTTGAACCGCGATCTTCAGATCTCAGACTCCTGAGTAGCTAGGATTACAGGCATGAGCCATCGGCGCCCAGCTTTCTTTTTAATTTCTAACAACCTTTTAAACTGTTTTTAATAGTCTCCAGAACAAACATTTAAAATGCATAAGGTTGCTGGTGGCTCACACCTGTAATTCTAATTCTTTTTTTTTTTTTGGGTCCGGTCGTGGGGCCTGAACTCTGGGCCTGAGCGCTGTCCTTCAGCTCTTCAGCTCAAGGCTAACACTCTACCACTTGAGCCACAGCGCCACTTCCGGCTTTTTTCTTTTTGCTTATGTGGTGCTGAGGAATCGAACCCAGGGCCTCATGCATGCAAGGCAAGCACTCTACTACTGAGCCACCTTCCCAGCCCCTGTAATTCTAATTCTTAATTTAGGAGGCTAAAATCTGAGGATCTCAGTTTGAAGCTAACCTAGGCAGACAAATTGGAGAGACTTTTTGCTGCCAAAAAGCCAGAAATAAGGCTGGGCACTGGTGGCTCACACCTGTAATCCTAGCTACTCAGGAGACTGAGATCTGAGGATCATAGTTCAAAGCCAGCCTGGGCAGGAAAAGTCCGTGAAACTCATATCTCCAATAAACCACCAGAAAACCAGAAGTGGCGCTGTGGCTCAAGTGGTAGAGAGCTGGCCTTGAGCTGAAGTGCTAAGGGATTGTGCCCAGGCCCAGAGTTCAAGCCCCATGACCAACCAAAAAAAAAAAAAAAAAAAAAGCCAGAAATAGAGCTCTTGTCAAGTGATAGAACACCAGCTTTAAGTGAAAAAGCTAAGCAAGCCAGAGGGGCTCTGAGTTCAAGTTCAAGTACCAAAAATACTTTTTCTGGTACATAAAACCATGAAAGGGGGGCTGGGAAGGTGGCTCAGTGGTAAAGCTCTTGCCTTGCATGCAAGAGGCCCTGGGTTTGATTCCTCAGCACCACATAATCAGAAAAAAAAGTTGGAAGTGGTGCTATGGCTCAAGTGGTAGTGTGCTAGCCTTGAGCTGAAGAGCTGAGGGACAGCGCCCAGGCCCAGAGTTCAGGCTCCACGACCAGATCCCCCAAAAAAACCAAAAAACAAAAAAACATGAAAGGGCTGGGAATGTGGCTTAGCGGTAGAATGCTTCCCTAGCATGCATGAAGCCCTGAGTTCAATTCCTGAGTACCACATAAACAGAAAAAGCCAAAAGTGACACTGTGGCTCAAGTGGTAGAGTGCTAGCCTTGAGGAAAAGAAGTTCAGAGACAGTGCCCAGATCCCTGAGTTCAAGCCCCAGAACTGGCAAAACCAAACAAAAACCACTTTAAGCTGATATTCCTCATTTACTTAGATGTTATTGTTAGGCATCAGGTTGTTTCCTGTTTCATTATAGAGATGAAGACAAATATCCTAGTGCCTGCCTCTTGTGCCATAACTCCACTTCTGGCTTTTGGGTGGTTAATTGGAGGATAAAAGTCTCATGGACCTTTCTGCTCTGGCTGGCTTCAAACCATGATTCTCAGATCTCAGCCTTATGAATAGCTAGGATTACAGGTGTCAGCCACCAGTACCCAGTAATACTACTCATTTCTTTTAGTACTGAGAATGGAACCCATGCACTCATTTATATTTTTTTGTTGGTGTGTGGCTTGAACTCTGGGCCTAGGCGCTGTCCCTGAACTCTTCATCTCAAGGTGAGCGCTCAACCACTTGAGCCATAGTGCCACT